GTTTTAAATTAACTTTTTATCCGTCTACACAAAGAATAAAGAAATGGTTTTCAATTATTATTTACATTGTTATTCTAATAAAGTACGCAGTCATGGCTGACAATATTATCTACTTCTACGTTTTTTATGTAGATCTAATTTAACCGCTGACAGTTTGTCAGGAAACACCTAGCATCTGTCCCAGAAGTCATATCTCGAGAGACTCTGAAGTATCTTCAGACTATCGAGACACACGACTCAACGCCAAGGAAAATCACCAGTAGCAACTCACCTCATCACATCTAGAAGACATATCCCGTCGACTCCATGACAAGAGATATTTCGGAAGTAGCTGCCGACACACTTACAACTCGACACCACACCAAAAACTATCACCAGCAGGAACTCGACACATATCTCCCGTAAGACATAACCCGTCGATTCTGCCACAAGAGATATTCGGCAAGTACTCACAACCTTTTCAGCACACTCCCAAACCTCGAACAAAGGAAATACTACCAACATCACGTCATTGATTTCGTTAACGAGATAATGTAACATCAAAACATTCACATCTGACTGTGGAATCAAACGTATATAAAAGGTATTATCAATCAACACAGCAGAAATTAAACATGAACACAAATGGCACAATTTTTAATCTAAAAATAAAGAAAATCTTTCATTTTAAAAGCAGTTCTTTCTTTAAGTTGGCCCTTTTTAAAATCAAAATAAATTATCCGAAGATGTAGTAATTTTTCTAAGGTAAATGTTGTGAATTCTACTCGAATCCATTACATTCACTTACGTATTAATACCCTTGGGAAAGGTATGAATCCATCTCTTCTTTTTTTCTTATGATTATGTGTGCTTATTAGGAGGCATGGAAGAGTAATGGATTGTGGCTCGGATTGCGGAATCGGAGAGCCGAGTTCGAATTCCAGTCGAATCCATTACATTCACTTACGTGCTAATACCCTTGGGAAAGGCATGAATCCATCTCTTCTTTCTTTCTTATAATTATTTGTGCTTATTAGGAGGCATGGAAGATTAATGGATTGTGGCTCGGATTGAGGAATTGGAGAGCCGAGTTCGAATTCCAGTCGAATCCATTACATTCACTTACGTGCTAATACCCTTGGGAAAGGTATAAATCCATCTCTTCTTTTTTTCTTATGATTATGTGGAAAAGAGGCATGAAGATTAATGGATTGTGGCTCGGATTGAGGAATTGAGAGCCGAGATCGAATTCCAGTCGAATCCATTACATTCACTTACGTGCTAATACCCTTGGGAAAAGTATGAATCCTCTTCTTCTCCTAGCTATGGGTAAATAGCAGGGTAGACCGGTTCTATAGCCTTGGATGACAACTGGTATACCGTAGAAAGAAATGACAACCTACTGCAGGAAAAAAATCTGCCCCGTCAGTCATGTATTGATAGATACATGATCGCCTAAGAGTGTATCACATATGGCACTGATTCCTTGTATATATGCCGAGTTCGGAATTCCAGTCGAATCCATTACATTTACTTACGTGCTGATACGCTTGGGAAAGGTATGTATCCTCTTCTTCTCCCCCCAGCGATGGGTAAATAGCAGGGTAGACCGGGTTCTAAAGACTTTGATGGCAACTGGTCTACCGCAGAAAGAAATGGCAACCTACTGAGAGAAAAAAAATCTGCCTCGTCAGTCATGTATCGCCTAAGCGTGTATCACGTATGGCACATAACTGACTGACAATGTTGCGCCTTTTGAGGCAGTCTTAAGCGATTATTTAATTGCTACCCGTCTCCTTTCTTTAGAAAACGTAGAAATCAGATGTTTTATTTAATATAAAATCAACTAAAATCTATCTCTACTATTAAATTACTTTTAGGAGAAAACTGAAATTTTTTTTAAAAATCCTTTGTTCCATTTAATTTCAGTATTCCCATTACCAAGATGTCGAGTGGTTTAGTGCGTTAGAATTATAACCACCAGACACGGGTTCGAATCTAACTCACTCACTCACACTATCGTACACTGAGTTATCAGAAATTGAACACTTGTGTTTTATTGAATTCTGGAATCTGAAAAGGATTGTATTGCCGGAAGGAGTGTCATTTTTATTTAATAGGCAAACACTGTACCACGTAAGGTATAGGGCTGCAGTTGAACTGCTAATGATGAATGTGAGGCAAGATTATGAGCATAAGAAGGATAGATGACTATTGGCCCTAGACATGAAAGGGTTAATATTGTAGTGTTTAGGAAAACATCTACGCGGGAGTTTCTTCCACAAAGTAGCAATTCTTGGAAAGAAGCTGAATGGAACACCCCTTCTTACGAATGAAATACATGGGAAACGAGCGTGAGTCTACTCTGTGGGTGTAACCAGTTGGGATTGGAGGTAGAGGTCTGTTTTGGTGGCAAGAATAGAGCGCTCATCTGAACCTTTGCTCTTGAAGTAACAATGGGAGAGTGATAAGGTTGTGATGTTGCTTTTCTAAGAAAAGGGATGCATATATATATATATATATATATATATATATATATATATATATATATATGATTGGTGTATACGGAATAAAATTCCAATAACCAACAAATACTATTCTTAAAAGAGTGCTCAATACAGAGTAGAGCAAATATAATCATTTATTTGAAAATTATAGCATAAAAATGTAATAAAATCACTACAAAAATAGCCATTTTGTTTCAACACTTCTGGTGTCTTATCAAGTGATCGTGCTGAAGTTTCTGGGACACATAATGAGGAAGGAGGGCCTGGAGAATCTGATACTCATGGGTCGAATAGAGGGAAAGAGAGACAAGGGAAAACAACGCGTTACATACCTGGCGGACTTAAGCAAGTGGGTGAGAGAACGTGGTCTGGGGAAGGAAGCAGAGGGAAGGAACTTGTTGACAGCTACAAGGGATAGGAGGAGGTGGAGAGCCATGATCGCCTACATCCTGAAAGGCACATAAAAAGAAAAGAATTCATTTGCAAGTTTAGTTGAAGTGTTGGAGGGTAGGATCATGATTTTTTTTTATTTTTGCTGGAATTATTTTCTTGAAATCGCTTGTCTAGAGTCATGATCAGTGATTGACAAATTACAAAACTCTGAGCTCGCCGTTTAAAAATATTGTACACACACTCACACAGATATATATATATATATATATATATATATATATATATATATATATATATAATGAGAGAGAATGATAAGCAGCTCGAAAACAGTCTTCCTAAGATTGCACATAGGAAAGAAGAGTGCTGAATATCATAAAAATGAAAGAGCTTTAATATATTTTAAATGAAATTTCAAATTGGCAGTTAGCAACCATGACTTCCAGTTTCATACACTTTCCCGCAATCATCAGTCGGTCGGTAGCTGAAGTTAGTAAAATAGCAAAGTTTATACAACCAGGCGAATGGAAGCTGGTGAGCCGACCAAACTCGCCAGATGGATGGTAACCTATCTGGCCAAGATAAACACGCCATTTTTGTATGGCATTGAGCACTATTTTTTCCAGCGTTCAATCTGAGGAAAACTCTTTTGGCAGTTGCTTATCCTTATTTTAACAGGAAAACGTGAAGCCAAAATATCCATTTGCTCAATTTTATATTGAAGTTTTATCATCAGTTTTACTCTATGCAAGGTAGTAAAAACCTCGAAGACACAAGAGGTTACTGGTTTTGGAAGAATTACAAAAAAAAAAAAAACAGAAACTAGAGTAATCAGTTGAACAGTAAATGATGATTGATATATTGCATTTAATGTTTTGAAGATCAAAGTTGACTGAGAATCAAGAAGATGGGATGGAGTTCCACAAGCAAGAAGTGCGATAAAAGAAAATATTAACATAGAACTTACGGTTACATCTAGCCAATTCAACTGTAAATTGATGAGACCTAGCTGCAAATCTAGTACAGTGCTTCTTCAGGACAAAGGTGTTCATGGCTCTCTACAACTTCCTTTTCCTTGTGGTTCTTATCAGTTTTTCTCCCATTGCTAAATCTCCTACTCCCTGTTCTGCTATCCATTCACACAAGCTTGTCAGGTTAGTGCCTCCCTGACTTCTCCTATCATTCTTGCCTTTAATATGCCCCCCCCACCCGTTACAGTTTCAATTTTTGAAGATTAAAGTTGGCTGGAAAGCATGAAGCCCGAAGAGAGTTCCACAAGCGAGAAGAGCGAGAGAAGAAACTGTTAACATAGAACTTACGGTTATATCTAGCCAGCTCGACTCATCACCAGTCTATTACTGCGCTTACGTTAAAAAAAAATCTGGGTACCTTGGCGAAGAGTTGATCCGAACAGTAGCCATAGAAGTATTTATATAGATAGCACAGAAAGGAAACTTTACTATGGTGGGAAATTGAATGAAGGTGACTGAAGGTGTAGTATCTGGGACCATTCAGGATTGTAATTCAAGTTGTTGCATTCTCATCAATCCGATACAAGAGGAGATATTACACCTGAATGTATCGTGATATGTACTAAGAATAAAACATTAAAACGTTCCAAGACACTAGGAAAAACCTTGAATTGCTTTTGTTGATGCAAGAAAGTATTTTACATATTTAGAGATATTAAATGTCGTAATCAATACGTAATATAACGCCCACTGGCACGAACTGCAGACTCAACTCGACGTGGAACCGGGAGGTACAAATTAAAAATTAGAAATGGTCTGTCATTTGTTTTGACCGTAAACCCCAAACTCTTGCCAGTTCTTTGACCTTCTATTATGCAGTCGAGTTTTCATCTCTTTCCACATAAGTTCAATTATGTTCAGATCAGGGCTTTGGGCAGAACCATCTTGTAACACTGCGATGTAGTCATATGTAAGATTCTACTTTATTACACACAAGTATGCATTGTGATGGTATACCACTCATGTCGGGCTAGAATGTGTGTATACACCTGTCTTTTAAATATAGAAAAAGCGCCTTTAATGGATAAGTAACATTCAAAATGTTGACATATGATTGAACTTGAACGCGGGCTAATCGTATCAAACAATTAATTTAGCCACCTAAGAACTGGTCAGACAGATAGATAGATAGATAGATAGATAGATAGATAGATAGATAGATAGATATGAGCATATTGACATAGATAGATAGATAGATAGATAGATAGATAGATAGATAGATAGATATGTGCATATTGGCATATAGATAGATAGATTGAAAGATATTAACATTTAGATACGAACATGTTGAGATAAATAGATATGAACAGACGAAGTTACGAAGTGATAGATAGATAGATAGATAGATAGATAGATAGATAGATAGATAGAAGGAACGAAAGATATGAACACATTTAGAAATGAAAAAAACTGAGTTAGATATATAAATGTTGATACGAATGGATTTAGATATATAGATATGAACGGAGATAAATATGAACAGACTGATAGATATCAATAAATGTGGATATGAACAGATATAGATATTAACAGGCTGATAGATAGATAGATAGATAGATAGATAGATAGATAGATAGATAGATATGTACAGACTGAGTAAGATACAGAGAGATCAAACAACAGATGGATAATGAACAGATATACACAGACTAAAATAGATATGAGCATATTGACATAGATAGATAGATAGATAGATAGATAGATAGATAGATAGATTGACTGGGTGAGATAGAGAGACTTAGATACGAATTGGCAGAGATTAATGATGAAACAGACCGATGGATTGATAGATAAGACAAACAAATAATGAAATTTCACGAATAAATAATTCAAGATGTCATTCAGGAAAGAAAGAAAGGGTGATGTAAAAGTTTAAGTTAAAATGCAAGGATTTAAAACGAAGGCCGATAGGCTGTATGAAAAATTATAGGAATCATGAAATTTTAAATAAGAACAGCAAAGAAACAATCGCAAGATGTAAAAAAGATCGAGCACCGTCGAAAAAGATTTAGAAAACATCCACACATGGTCATAGGGATAGAGAGCTATAGCTCGAGAGGTAGAGAGACAGAGGATAAGAGGGGAAGAAAACTCGACCTAAATGTTAGAAGGGAGTTGTAGAAATGAAGATGGAGAAGAAAAGAAATGAGAAAACAGAAGTCAAAAGTGAGAAAGGAATATAGAAATAAAGATAGAGAAGTGGGGGGGGAATGATAAAATGACAGGAAAAGATGGTAGACTGTAAGAGCGACAGTATCACGAAAAGAGGGAAAAGGCCAAGACAACGGTATTATAAATGCGAGAGATAAGTGGTAAACAGGAAAGGAAATGCAAAGATTTTAAACACGTAACAAAACTGAGTCATTTTCATTATAATGCTAGCAATCTCCTCCTCTTCATTGATGATGTACTTCCGCTTATGGATACCTGTCAATGAAGGATTCTGCAAATGTGTTTTGACTTCAATTAAAAAAAAGAACAACATTGCTATTAAAGAGAAAAATGTTCTTGAAAGGCGAACAAAGAAATAGAGCCAAAAAATATAACTTAAAAATCTGTTGACTGAAGTAGAAAAAACAGAATGAATATATTTGTAACATGCTGTCATTTAGAACTCATTATTTACCTGGGTGGTAATCTCTGATTAAAAAAAATACAAATTATCTAATTACGTCTTCACAAAAAATGTTTGTACTACATTTTTATACTAATGAATTTCTCTGATTGAATAATGAAAAAAAAAAACGGTAAAAAGCCAAAAATTTACATGTGAAAATGTTAATGACTAGAACATCAGAGGAAAGAATGGTTGCTTTTTCGAATTATTTACTTTACTCTTCGAAATTTGTGTCTAGAAATCTTATTAAACTTAAGAAAACATTTTCAATAAGAGACGACGTGGTTCAAGGTCGTAATTGTTGATGTGTTTCTGTATTATATATGGGAGACTGTTGGCAATAATTTGTAATTGTTTTCTTTTTAGCATTGCTAGAAAAGGTAGAGTCAACATTGAAATAATCAATAGTGAGTGTCTTCTTTAAATAAAACAGAGCAGTGACTTTGTCAAAAGCGTAACTCTTGCGCAGTCGCACACAAAAACTGATCGGAATGAACCACTTCCGGTGGCAGTTTAGAAAGAAATAGAAGATTCGAAAATAGTTGAACGGGAGGAAAAGAAAGAAAAGTGAGAAAGCAATGGATGAAAAAGAGTGAGAAAGATGTTGAGAAAAATTGTTTTATTAAATATAAATAAAAAAAAATTGAAGATATTAATTCAAAGTTGTTTTAAAATTGTTTTTTTTTTTTCCAAAATAAACCGAATGAACTAAGAGTGAAACAGATTAGAAAAGTCTGAACAAACAATGAAGGATGGAGAGAAGAGAGAGAGAAAAAAAAGAGGGATACAGTTAGACATGAGAGAGGAGAAAACATGAAAGACAAGGGGAAAAAGAAAAGGTGTGCGACAGAGAGAGGAGACTTGAGAGAAGCGAGGAGAATAAGAAAAAGACTCAAGAATGTGGACGTTTTATAGAAAAAAACTAAAAAGTAAGAACAAGAGAGAGAGAAAGAGAGAGAGAATGGGGATGATACAAGTGAGAACAATTTAGAAAAGAGGAGATGGAAAGAGAAAAATAAAAGAACGCAGCAGAGAAAGGAAAAGTGAAAGAAACAGAGTGAAAGAGACGGAGAGAGAAAGAGAGTGAGGAAGAAGAAGAAAGAGAATTAAGAGCGGGAAATTATTTACAAAAAGTGAAAAGAGAGAGTGAAAAGAGGTGAGACAAGTGAGAACAATTTAGAAAAGAAGATAAAATTAGAGAGACAGAGAGAGAGAGAGAGAGAGAGATGGGGAGAGGAAAAGAACGAGAACGCAGTAGAGAAAAGATAAGTGAAAGAAATGCATCCATAGAGACAGCGAGAGAGAGAGAGAGTGAGTGGGAAAGAGAGAGAGAGAGAGAGTGAGTGGGAAAGAGAGAGAGATGAAAAAGAAAGAATTAAATGTGGGTAATTATATACAAAAAGAATAGAAAGCAAGAACGAGAAAAATGCAAGAAAGAAACAAGGGAAAGTAAGAAAAGGGAATAATACAAGAGAGAGGGGGAGAGAGAGGGCACGTGATAGAGAATGAGAAAATGTGAAAGGAAATGAAGAGTAATGGATAGCGGCTTGGATTGAGGAATCGCAGAGCCGAGTTCGAATTCCAGTCGAATCCATTACATTCACTTATGTGCTAATACCCTTTGCAAAGGTGTGAATCCTCTTCTTCTCCCTCCAGCTATGGGTAAATAGCAGGACAGACAGGGTTCTATAGCCTTGGATGGCAATTGGTCTTGGAGAAGGAAAACTCTGAATTCAAAACCTGCGGAGGGTCGTTTGGGGACCTTGTAGTGCACCAGGTCTCTGTAATCGGCCCTTCAAAAAGTGTGGATGATCCTGCACGAAACCTTCACCACTATAATCAAATCTCATGTGCTATACATGCGGGTTTGGGGACCGCTTGTGAATTTCAGTTTCCCATGAAACTCCAATACTAGAGCCGGCTCAACCCACCCCGGGTGAATGCTGTTACACGAACAAGAAATAATAGAGGGAAAAGAGAAAAGAGGATGATGAAAGAGTAATAGGGGAAAAGAGAGATAACGATATAGAGAAAGAAGAAAAGGTAGTAGAACTCGTGGAAGGGAGAATAATTGAAGAGGAAGAAAGACAAAGAGGATAAGATAGAAAAATGGACGAAGCATAAGCGAGAACAGAGGAGAGAGAGAGAGAGAGAGAGTCTGGTGGGAGGAGAGTGACTAAAACAAAAGACGAGGGAAATAAAGGAAAAAAAAGTGGGTGAAAATTAAAGAGATAGGGATAAAATACTGAGAAGAATTCTCAGAGAGAGAGAGAGAGAGAGAGAGAGAATGAGAGAGAGTGAGGAGGCGAGAAAAAGAACAAGAGAAAACGCGAGAGTGAGAAAAGGGAGTGAGAGTGAGAAAGGGAGAGATAGAACGAGTGAAAGTGAGAAAAATGTGGTAGAAATCAAGAGAAATATAAAGCGTGTATAAGAGAAAAAAATAGAGAAATCGAAAGATAGAGAGAAAAAGTGAGTGAACAAGAAAGACGCAGAAAAAAGCAAGAAAAAGAAAGAAAGATAGAAACCTAAATAAAAAGGAAAGAAAAAAAGAGAGGTAGTTTTATAAGCGTATCTTAGATGTGACATAAAGCTTCAAGTGAAGACCGAACACACTACTCAATTTTAATTGTTCTAGCGAGACAAGACTGCGAACCAGTACACCAGGTCAAGGTGGCCGAAATAGAGAGAAAGGGAGCGTGAAAACCGAATGATGCCAAAAATGAATTGTTTTTTTAAATGATTGTTAAAAAAAACCCGAAAAAAACTGTTTGAAAAAAACATGATTTTATCCAAATATAATCCGAATCTATCAGTTTTACCTGGATGTATATATTTCTTGGAAAGAAGATAAGATGTGACGTTTAAAAAAAAGTGTTCACCATGGGAGAAAAGAAGAGACAGAAATAAATATTAAATAATATATAAAAAAAAAAATAAAGTTGACGTAAAAAGGAAAATATCAAATATAAAATGAGAGAAGATTGAAAGACAAAGAGAACGAAGTATTTTGATTTTTTTCTAACACTTTTCAATGCTGAAAGAAAAGAGTTTTTTGTTTTTTTTAAATTGTTTATTCCGACCTTGATAAAAGAAAATCAATTTCGGTGATGTTGGACAAATATTTGTAGAAAGTCCAGAAATTAGATTAAGTTAAGAAGAAAATTTCAAGAGTCAGAAAAGAGGAAATAAAAAGAGAGATTGATTGCTTTAAAGGCAACTCAACTCCTTAATGTCTGTCTGTATTTTTGTAACTATTTAAACTATTTACATCGTTTGGACTGTTGTTTTCAACTTTATTTTCATATTCACGACATTTCGGACGTTTTACGCTCCGGCCTTTATCAAGTTCGGTCTATATTTCTATATATTATTTACATTATTTAGACTATTCGGACTGTTATTCTCATCTTTATTTTCATATTCACGACGTTTCGGCCGTTGCACGCTCCTGCCTTCCTCAAGATCGATCTATATTTCTGAGATGAGGCGGTATAACTATTTACACTACTTACATCGTTCGGACTGTTGTCCTCATAATAATTTTCATATTTACGACATTTCGGCCGTTGTACACTCCGGCCTTCTTCAAGAACTGTTTATATTTCTGAGATGAGGTATTGTTAATATTTACACTATTTACATTGTTCTTCAAGAACTGTCTATATTTCTGAGATGGGGTAGTATAACTATTTACTCTAGCTAGATCATTCGGACTGTTGTTCTCAACGTTATTTTCAAATTCACGACGTTTCGACCGCCTTCTTCAAGATCTGTGTATATCTCTGAGATAAGGTAGCATAACTATTCACAATATTTACATCATTCGGACTGTTGTCCTCATCTCTATTTTCATATTTATGACGTTTGGGCTGTTGTACGCTCCGGCCTTCTTCAAGAACTGTCTATATTTCTGAGATGAAGTACTGTAACTATTCACATTATGCGTTCGTACAATGTAAATAGTGTAAATGATTATTGATCATTAAATGCCGGAAATTTAATTTTATTGAGAGATTTGATGTAACTAAAATATGGTATATGTTATTCTGCTTTCACAGCTGAATACATGGTAGATGATACTCAGCTTTTTTACATATACATGTTTGTGTGGACAAAATTACTAGAGGCGGTAATTTGTGCGTTTTATCTTGTAGTTTTGTCGAAGTTATATTTTGGAAAAGAGATTGATTTCTTTAAGAAATTGTAGGATATTATATGGATTAAAGAGTTCTTTCATGTTGGTTCTTTGGTTGATTGATTTTGTTTACCGTCATATCAATCCCTATGGGTTATTTAAATATGATCTAAATATTTTGTACATAATTTTATACTTTCGGCGTTTTTAATTTATATATTTTGTAGATCATAAAATGTATTGCTGGTAATTTTACTATAACAAATTATTGCTGATTTTTGTTGGGGGGGGGGCACTGTTTGCCCATAGCTAAGGGGGTAGGGTGACTTGGAAACAACAGCGAATAAAAAAACACAATCTGCCGATCATCAAGAAGAAAAAGGAAAAAAGATAAAAAGGAAAAGAAAAAGAAAAAAGAAAAAGGAGAAAAAAGAGAAAAAGAAGAAAAAAGAGAAAAAAGAAAAAGAAGAAAAAGAAAAAAGAAGAAAAAAGAAAAAGGAGAAAAAGGAAAAGAAAAAGAAGAAAAAAGAGAAAAAAGAAGAAAAAAGAGAAAAAAGAAGAAAAAGAAAAAAAGAAAAAAAAAAAAAAAAAAAGAAAAAAGAAAAAGAAGAAAAAAGGAAAAAAAAAGAAAAAAAGAAAAAGAAGAAAAAAGGAAAAAAGAAAAAGAAAAAAGAAAGAAGAAAAAAGAGAAAAATCAAAAAGAAAAAGAAGAAAAATGAAAAAGAAGAAAAAGAAAAGAAGAAAAAGGAGAAAAAAGGAAAAAAGAAAAAAGAAAAAGAAGAAAAAAGAAAAAAGAAAAAGAAGAAAAAGAAAAACGAGAAAAAAGGAAAAAAGTAGAAGAGAAAAAGAAGAAAAAAGAAAAAGAAGAAAAACGAAAAAGAATAAAGTAAAAAAGAAAAAGAAGAAAAAAGAAAGAAGAAAAAAGAGAAAAAGAAAAAGAAGAAAAACGAAAAAAAGAAAAAGAAGAAGAACTAATGAACCTGACAGAAATCTTCTTATATACTCGGCATTAGAAACGATCGCAGAAACAATACGTAAAAAACTAAACAAAAAAAAAAAGAAAGAAAGAATTCCATTATAGGAAGGAAAAAAAGTAGAAAGCAAAATAAATAAACTATGAAGACAATTGTCAATTCTAAATGAATTAGACAAGGACTTTAAATGAAAAAAGAAAAGAAAAGGGAGACAACTGAAAGGAAGCTTTGGCATAAAGAAAAAGAACACTGCTGACGTACCAAGAGTTAAAAAGAAGCTGAAACCACAAATTCAAGCAAAGGGACAGAGAATCAGGCGTTATGAAAAAAAGAAACAGATTCTTCGGGCAAAACAAGATCTTTAAAGAAGATACCAAGAAACTATATTGAGACCTGGTAAAAATAAAATAGAGATAAATGACCCACATAATATCCAGAAAGTCGAGGAGTTCTGATGTAAGATGTGGGAAAACTGCAAAAACCTCAATGAAAGAGCTAAATGGATCAAGCCAAAACAAAAACAGCACACGCACATAGATTACCAAAAAAACGGGCGGATATCAATATTAGAGAAACAACCGCTGCCAAATGCAAAACCAAAAAAATTGGAATGTACGTATCTAGCATCCACCAAGACCTCGCACGAGCATAGAATGATGTAATCATAAACCCAGAAAAATGCCCTAAATAGCTCACGTGGAGAGTAACATAGCTAATCCCAAGAACAGAAGAGATGCAGAATCTGAAGAACTATAGACCCATCACCCGCCTGCCAACAATGTACAAGATTTTGACTTCTACCATAACCGAGAGGAAATACACCTTCCTGGAGGAAACAGTTTACTCTGAGCAGAACAGAACGGATATAAAAGAGGAAGTTACGGGTACAAGGACCAATTAATTACCAATAAAACAATATTGGAAGGGGTGAAAATAAGGAAAAGAAACTTATCGATAACATGGAACGACTACAGAGAGACGTTCGACACTACCACACTCATGGATAGAGAAGAGCCTAAAAATATATAGAGTATGTCCCACAACGGTCAAACTCATAACGGAGAGGATGAAAAAGTGGAAGACTACACTAAACTCAAACCATACAAACGGATCATTAACATCGAGACCAATCAAAATCAAGAGTGTGATTTTCCAAGGAGATTAATTGTCACCACAACTCTTCTGCCTTGCATTAGCGCCACTCAGCTGTCAACTGAAGAAGAATAGCTACGGATAAATGTCACGGAATGGCAAACTGAATAACATAGTCTATATTGCGTATTTTTTGTTTGTTGAAATTGCAGTTGTTCGTGAAAAGATGTTTTGCATGTTCTGTCAATGTAACACTGTTGCGTTGTAGTGCAGCTTCTTTGTTAATGGAGTGGCTTTGGTGTTTTACTATTTGTAAAAGAAAACCATTTTTTGTTGTCAGGTATGTCCATTAAATATTTTGTTTAATTGTTTTCTGGTGTGTAGCCCACATAAATCAATTTATGATTGATACATTGGGAGGCGTATATCAAATAATAATAATATTAAAACTGAAATGATGAGACTGGAAATATTGATACATGAAATAAGGTAAGCTCTGTACGAAATGAAAGTGCTGTTGATACATCCTAATATATATTATTATTAATTATTTAGTAAAGTAATAGATTGACTTTAGATGTGTATACTAAATAACTTTTGTAGTAAATGTTTGTGGAGTGAGTAGCCATGGTCAAATACAAAATAAATAACAGAACGGTCCGACAAACAGGACTGGAAAAGTTTGTCGTGAGAGAAAGGAACGATGACAAAAATATAAAGCAAGCAAACAATATATGTAAGGCAAATTAACATTAATAAAACAAAAAGAAGTTTGCAAATTAAGTATTAATGCCTACACAAAAAAGCAAGTTCGGACAACCGAAAGAGAATGCTGATTCAAGACAAGACAGATCAGGACTAAGGTTATTTACCTCACCTCCCCACAAGGCAGGATGTGGCACAAGGCCGTTTTTTTTTTGCGTGGGGTGAATCCGAGACCGTAGGATTGGGCAAAAAATCCCCGTAGCCCCGCATATACGGAGCCTGGCTTGTTTACCTCCCCAGATGTGACTCTGCCCTTCGGCATAGCCTGGTCTGAGTTCCTCTTTGCCCGAAGGCAGAGAGTCTGGCATGCCAGCTCAAACGGCCTGAAACGGAAGATCGGAACTGAATCAAATGGGAACGCGAATCGGCTTATTACATTATTTAGGAAAATTCCCAGCATGCATTTACGTGTTTCCGCTTATAAAAGGGGAATGAAAAATAGTTTTGCAGTCATTCGAAATCAAGATGGTATCATGAAGGTCAGAAAAAAAAAGAAAATATTTTTGATACACCTCATAGAATAGAGTTATAGATAATCTTTAGATGTATGAATCCAATAAGCCTGTAAGCAAAACACTGCAAAAATGGAAACAGAAAAGATCAATATTCGTGGCTTGTAAAGCGTCCAAATGATGACTTCAGCACTGATATGAGAATGTGATTGTTTCAAATTAATAGACTTAAACGAATGATAATTGCCTCATTTTCGCTTCAAGTTTTCCGTCAACTAAACGATGCCAATATTTCCACACCAAAAACAACATTACAATCAGTGACCAACGAATATTATGAATTAATTTATGGCACGACACAGCTACATTTGAAGACCTAAAAATTTCTCAGTTTTAAGTACAGTTAAAAAACAACAATGAAAGTAAACAGAAACCCGTTGGATTCAACATCCGACCGAGAAAAATTGCAAATATTCTAAAACAACGTTCTTTCAATAATCTAATCTGTAATTTGGCGTCACAAAATGGCTCTATAAAAATTATCCAAAAAACGGTTTTCTATAAAATTAAAAAAAAAAGTTCAAATTGTAATCTTAACAACCAATGATTTTCTTCAGAAAGAAAATTTGTGAATGTCTTCATCACCATTTCTTTCTCGTTGACGATTCGTCAGTCAAGAAAGTTTTTTGCTAATTAAATGCTCCACTGTTCAACATTGTACCATTCTGCTCAAAATTTAGTAAATAATTTACGACGGTGATCGTTGTGTACTAATGTTAAATTTCACAAAAGAAAAGAGACATGAATCAACAGACATGAAGTCCTAAAGAGGAATGCTAAGAATATCAAGGAAAGGACATGTGATCAATGAGGATGTTTTAAGGAAAAGCAGAACTAAAAGGACACTTATACTTACAATAAGAAAGAAACAGATGAAATATCTGGAACACATAAGGAGGAAAGAGGAGCTAGAGAACTTATCACTCACAGGATATAGTGAAAGCAAGCGGAGAGTAACTTACAAAACAAATTTGTGTTTAATTGATGACAGATTTTATTCATTTTTAAGGAACCTCTTACAGATTTTATTAACTTTTAAGGACCCTCTTACAACTTTCTGAGTGAAATAGATTAGTTTGAATGGGGTGAAATAAATTAATTTAAATTGGGTCAAATAGATTGATTTGAAGGAGGGGAGAGAGATTAATTGAAAATGGGTGATATAGATTAATTTGAATGGGGTGAAATAAATGAATTTAAATTGAGTGAAATATATTAATTAGAATGCAGTGATATAGATCAATTTACAATGAGTGAAATAGATTAATTTGAATGGCGTAAAATAGATGAATTTAAAAAGGGTGCAATTGATTAATTTCAAGGTGGTGAAATAGATGAATGTAAAATGGAGGAAATAGATTAATTTGAATGCGGTGAAATAGATTAATTAAAATTTAGGTGAAATAGATTAATTTGAAGGAGTGGAGAGATTAAAATAAAATGGGTGAAATAGATTTATTTGAACGGGGTGTAATAGATGAATTTAAAATGGGTGAAATATATTAATTTGAATGAGGTGAAATAGATGAATTTACAATGAGTGAAATAGATTAATTTTAATGGCGTAAAATAGATGAATTTAAAAAGGGTGCAATAGATTAATTTCAAGGTGGTGAAATAGATTATTTTAAAATGGGTGAAATATATTTATTTTGAATGGAGTGAATATAATGAATTTACAATGGGTGAAATGGCTGAATGCAAATTGGAAGAAAGGAAGGAATTTCAAATAGGTGAAATCGATGGATATATTTCGATTTACTATGATTGACTTGGCAATATAGAAATTTATATTTTTTAGGGCGACAATGCCGCAGTTTTATTACATTCAATTTCCATGGAAATAAATAGAATTAAATATTCATATTATAAAAATATAAAAAATAAAATAAACCTTCTTCTATAGTAGTAGCATACATCTCCCAGAATATATTATAGCATAATGGCCTTAACCAGGCTAGTCTGGTTTTGCCACTACTTCTAGGCCTCTGAATTTTTTTCCACTCACGAGCAACAGTTGAACGATGAGAGCTTTAAACGTCTACTGGGTACCAAGGTTTACTCACTATCACAAATAGAACTCATATATATAATCCATGTCACGGGTTGAAAACAATACCACGGGTTGCCCCAACCCTTGTAAGTGAAATTTGGTAGACGGAACCTTTAGGGGCTGACAGTTGTTATGCTAGTATGAAGTCAAATGTCCTTGGGTTTCAGCATGCTAGCCTTTTTCATACTGTTGGGCACACTAGATAACGCACTCTCTCTCTCTCTGTCTGTCTGTCTGTCTGTCTCTCTGTCTCTGTCTCTGTCTGTCAGTCTGTCTGTCTGTCTGTCTGTCTCTCTCTCTCTCTCTCTCTCTCTCTCTCTCTCAAGAACTGTAACTGTTGTCCGCTCAGCAAAGTTGCAGCATAAACCACGGATGGGCTCTGTGGGTTTTGAACAAACAAATCTCAGTAGGCGTCTGTAGTTTATCGTCATACCCAGGACAGGGCATCCTCGGAGTGGCTGCGCCATTACTTACTATATATAATCCATTACCTAAGATTCTGGAAAAGTTATCAACTTATTCCATCACTTCAGGAAGTATGATTCTACCATGATTTATCATAATAAGAATCAAGATCAGGTCAAAAATGAAATATTGCTGCCATATCTGATCCGGAGCTACTAAATCCACGACTGCCTGCTTTTGATAGAGTTCAAAATCGGTCTTTTCGGTGAAGGGTCATTCTCCAAACGTCAGTTTCTTTCCCCAAAGACGCAGCGTCACAAAACTGTCGCTATTTCCATGGCACATGTTCAGATGACCGCTATGTTACTTGCACGGAGTCGAATCACTCTCATTTCCTCCATATTTCAAATCTAACGAGAAATCTCTCGTTGCATAAGAACAAGGACTTGCTTGATTATTTCAATTAATGCTAGAATCTTAACCTCTTCAGGGGTCAACCATTTTCCTCACCTTCACTTTCTGCAATCTCTTCTTTCACTGTATGACATACCTTATTCATTATAACGATTTTAACAATAATTCTCTATCTTGAGTGGCTCTAGGGCCTTGTAATAGAGTTTAAAAAGTTAGCTCCCAAGTTGAAAGTAAATATGAATTACTTTGAAACTGGTAAATGCTTTGAGAAATTATGTTGGAAAAGTCAATATTCTTATGAAAAAATAAATGACAACAGAAATAGTTTCAAGGAACACTCATAATTGGGATTTAATTTTGAGGTGCCAAATAGTTTTAAGGAGAAAAAAGTCACGTAGTCTAAAACATAAGTGGAATCTAACAAAAGACCAATGTTTCTCGCTAATGTCTTGGAATTAAAAAAAAAAAGAAGCAATTAATATAAAGAGGAGAGATCGCTTATATATTTAATTTCTGATAGCTGATGTTCATTTAAAAAAAAAATCTAAAACAATATTTTTGTTTTCCTTTCTAATTTACCTTTTTGTTAAAAATTAATAATTAAAGACTCTAATAATTGCAACTAGATTGGCTTAATTACAGACGTCGTTGATGGAAAAGAATTGTCAGAGAGAAACGCAAAGAAACCATTTCGCAGAAATAAAATAAAATTGACAATTACTTGGAAGAGATCTTCTCATTAGCAAAATCTCTCTTTTACTAACGTCTGCCCAATGGGACTTATTCCGGTTCTCATAGCATCAGCCCAAGGAGATAACGGCTTTCATCCGTTCTTACCACACACACACACACACACACACATATATATATATATATATATATATATATATATATATATATATATATATATATATATATTTATTAATTCATTATAATTTTTAAATACTGACAAAAAACAATTTACTCACTACAAAAATACATTCTTGCTTTGATGCAGTTGCATCTCGACTGGTGAGAACCAAAAATGGATATTCTATTTCGCTATGTAGGTTGCTTGCATCATGACGAGCTCACTGATATATCATTTTTTTTATTTCTATGCCATCGTGTTTAGCAAAAGAATGTGAAAAACGAAAAATCGATTTCAACATAAAATTGATTCAACACAAATTTTAAATTAAAAACTCCCTCAATTTTTTTTAAGCAATCTTATAAAAACTTCATTCAATTGTAGCCAACAATAAGTTGATTGTTTAACAGTCATTTAACTTGATAATTGTGTTCACCCATATAATGAAAACCCGCGTAAATAGCAAAAAGATGAAATTTTTACTGGCTTTTCTTTTCTTCGTGTTGTCTGTTTACTCTTTCATGTCCTCGGCTAACTTCGATTGAATAAATACAGACTACTTCTGTTATATCAGTAACTGCATTACTTCAAAAAAATTTCAACGAAAATACTTTAAATTAATTGAAGACAGACACTGTTGTATCGAAACGAAATGATGTTGCTTTTGCTCCATTCTAATTGAACACTTTTTCTGATCCGCCAACAGTCTATGGCTGCTAGTTATTCAATAAATAATCATTTAGATTGCAATAAATATGTTATACACTGCAGGACAAAATCTGATGGTCATTGAAAATAAAGAAAAAAATATACTTTTTGTGTTGCTTGTCACAACCACTTATTTTAGAAGAGTCTCGGAAAATGAAAATAAAATAAATAACTGGGGAATTAGACTAAATACTACTAGACCAAAATTTTAAGTCTATATTTAAACGAAATTTTGGTAAACATGTAACGAAATTTATTCATTTGTGTTCAAGCATTAACTCGTCCTGGATAGGACGATAAACTACACCCGGCAGCAAAGCCTCGGATTAGGGGATTTTGAGGATCATGGAACTACCTCTGTTGCTGTTCCCAGGTCCACCCTAATCCATGGTGGTAGTATCTGTTAGTGTCACCGCTATGGGCAATAGTGAAGCCCAAACTGGGGTCAAAACATGAAAATATGAAAAATAGTTTCGAAAGAATTACCAGCAATACATTATTGGATAAAATGACCAGCAAAAAGAAAAATGCGAAAGCTCACAAGAAAATAAAATTTCGACATTAAATGACCCATGAGGAGTTGGTATGTCGTTAAACAAACCAAACCAAACAAGCATTAGCAGAATTAACATCAGCCACTTGTATATCGTGATTTTGTAAGCACAGCTTAGATGTAGCCCAAGGTCGATGTATGGGCACTCAGTGTGGATCAAACTCACTACTCAGTCGTAATAGATCTAGCAAGACATGCTTGTTAACCATTACACTACGTCGAGGTGCCCTTCTGCCACTGGTATATCTTGCGTTACATTAGGTTAAACATGGCAACGGTTTCTCTTAACCGGCCATCGCTAGTGAAATTGGATCAAATAAAAAAGCAGTTGCAGATTTTTAAACGAGCCCGAGGGACATGGAACGAGATTTTCAAGTGATCGGTCGCAGAACATCCTCTCGGGGTTAAGCAGGAGGATTTGACGGTTTGTCCGGCAAGATACCAGCCGATCATCGAACCAGTTTAATTCCCTTACGGGCTCAGAATCCAGCTAAAAAATTATGAGATGGCATCTCCGAGAGAAAGGTTTTAAAAAAACGTAAATATCTTCAAAGTCCACACCCCATTCCACACCACAAAACAGCAGGTTTTTCTTTTCTGTTGTTAAAAAAATTGGTCCAGATAGTTTTCAACGTTACTGTCACTATAAGGATATCTTACCGGATACATTTTCTACGTGACATATTGGTTCTATCATGATCTGGGGTGATATCTCCTTCGAAGGAAAAATGGAATTTCAGGTTATGCAAGGGCGTCAAACAACGGCTAGTTACATTGGCAATGTTGGAGAGAGCATCATTATTGACGAAGGTCCTCGCTTGGGTGGAAATGATCTTTCAACAGGACAACGTTGCAATCCATAATGCCTGCAAGACAAAGTACTTTTTGATGGCGAATAACGTAATTCTTTCGGATCATCCAGCGTATTTGCCCGGCCTGAACCCCATTGAAAATGTTTGTGGGTAAATGACAATGATAATCTATAGAAATTGACGTCAATTCCAAACAGTGCATTATCTTCGTGAAGCTCTCTTCACCATTTGGAATAACATTCTAACCAACTTTCTGCTTATATTGACAAGGTCAGAGCGACATTCTGGAGTTATTTATAACGACGTCCGTGCATCTTACTAGTGAGACGTCTTATGATTTTCCTACTCTGTTTAGGATTTTTAGGTCCGGTCTTAAACTTTTGACGACTTAGTATTTAGCCTAATTTTCCAGTATCAATTTTTCGTTATTAAGTGGTAAAAAAGTTTTTTGTTTTTTTTTTAATTTCTTTTATGTATAAAGCTTCAAGAATTTTTAATATTTGTTTATTGTTTTCATAGTAAACAAAAATTTAAAATTCTTGAAGCTTTATACATAGAACAGTTGAAAACTAACCTGAACAAAATAAACTATGAAATCTCCACAAATATTCTTAAATGCTTATAATTTATATCAGAAGCCATTAGTTTATACCAACGGCTATCCCATATTTAATACTTCTCGTTTTTCACACTCGCGTGGTCATGTGTGACGTCACGAGCTACGGCGTGATTTTCGCTTCTGCGTCTCGTATATATGAGTTTGTCGTTACTTGGAAATTTTTCATGCAGCAAGGGCGGACTATCATTGTTGCTTCGTCCGTGTGTTGTTTGATCTATTGAAATTGTCATCTTTGATAATGACTTATGTAAGCCGAAAGCTTATATTGGATTTAAGCATGTATCAATATGGTGTTTTCCTTTCGTCTTTCAACGATAATGTTATTAAGCTTATCAGACAATATGAAAGGAACTTACTTAAAATAAATAGAAAAATATAGAAAATACTTGTCTACATTATCTAATGAAACATGCATTAATATATATATATATATATATATATATATATATATATATATATATATATATATATAATGCCAAATCTGATTCTCGTTGTTAGCAGCTCCTTGTTCTATACCTATTTTCATACCATACGTTCGGGCTAAATTGACTGAGTTGACGCATTCCCAGCTTTTGTGTAGCGATTTCAATATGGTTTTATTATAATCTCTTATAATAAAAAATAATTATATATATATATATATATATATATATATATATATATATTTAAAGTTTATTCATAAGAAATAATGGTAAAATTTTCCTTGCTTCATTGCTTACAGACTGAAAAGTCATAACGAGGCATGGTAAAGGGTCATTTAGTCATTCCTTCCTGTAGGGACATCCATAGCTGGAAGGTAAGGAGGCGCTTGACTAATTAAAAGGTGATTTCATGGTGAAAGTGATTGCTGGTTCAATCTCTGTCGGATGTTATATATTTTAAAATAAAAGGTTGGGTAATTTAAGCCAGTAGAGCTTAATGTCTTTGTTTACAAAATGAAAAAAAAATATAAAGACGGAGATGTCTACT